CACGCGACACGAGACCATATATATATATATATAAAATATACGGCACCTAAAATTTAGGGTACCCAAAAAGGGACCCTAATTTTGAGAAACACCCACATCTGTCAAATCGTTTCAGGGCAACGCTGGCGGAGCGTCTTGTCGTGTTCACACCTGGCAAGGCTATGCTGTACTCATGGAGCTTTCTGACCCCATCTTGGGCATCGCACTTGAAAGTGGGGCAGGCGTACATTCCGAAGAATTCCTGCGCCTCTAAGCAATTCAGAATATCTCTGCGGTGCGCCAACCTTGGGCACAAGTCATGTTGAAGATGTTGGCATCTGCACTGGATCCCTGTGAAGCAAATGCACTCACCGAGATGACGACCCTTGCCTCATGTCCGACAGCAGAACACATAACCCATTCGCAGGGATGCGATTGATTCAAGCAGAGAAGCACGTCAGAAGGGCCACATGCTGACAAGTTTCAAGTATGCGGCAAGGGCGTTCTTCCGGGACTCCAGGTATTCAGGGCCTTGTCAAAGGAAAGCGATCTTCAATACAGCCCCTAGTAAGTGGCCAGAACCCACATGAACCACAACAGGTCATGCCGGCACACGAACTCTTTTTTTTGAAAAGCTCCGAGCATGCAGCGGCGCGTTTGTTGTGCTCCATCGCAAAGGATCTACTTCTTGCTCTTCTTCTTACCTCCTTCCTTTTCCTTGGCCTGCGACAGTTTCTCGGCAAGGACCTGCTTGACGCACTTCTGCTCCTCAAGAAAGTGAAACATCGCTTGCCGCAGCCTCCTAGTGTTAGGCCATGGAGCCTGTTGCCCTAAACCCTAAACGCTGAACCCTAAACCCTGAAAGACGGCGGGGGGGGATGCTAATCAGGGTGCAGCTCTGAAGGTCCCGGAGGGCTCCACACACCCCGTTCACTCATGGGGCCCTTACCTGGGCCTCAACCCGTGTTTTGTGAATGAAGTGCCACGGTGTGGTACATTACTGCAAAGAGTACTGCAAGGAAGATTCGCCCGCCAAACACATTGGGGATAGACTTCCCGTCATGTGCCACTACAAGTGGAGTGACTGCTTGCATGGGTCCTCATATTTTGGCTGCGAGGCAGGGGAATAACAGCTTCTCATTCACAACAAGAATCCAGGATTTACAATAAGGATCATTAGACGAAGAAACGTCATGAAACACAACGCAACAATGGCAATGCTGATCTTCGTCATCAATTTGGTACAAGTCGTGATGCTTGCAGTGCGGCTGGCATAGGGCTCAGGGCTAAGAGTCTTCAAGGTTTGGGGCATTCGAAGGTTTGGGGCTTCGGGTCCAGGATCTGGACCTTCATGCTCGAGAGTTGACTGATCAAGGTGATATGTGCAGCCTCGACACCTCGATCAGGAAGGCCCGGATAACACGCTCACGAACACAGTGGGCGCATCGGGATCCGCCGTAGGCACGGTTGACGCGCTTCTCGCGCTTCTTCAGGCGAGAGTATTCGATCGGGCGCAAACGTGGCAGGCCAATCAGAGCCTGCATCCGCTTTGGTTGAGCTGGCATCACTGACCCTTACACTACGATTCTATCGATCCCACACCCACACCCGCTCCCTGGGCCTTGCCGCAGTCACCGCAGTGTGGGCCCTTTGCCTTCTTCTTGACTGCCTGGTACACTGCTTTGCCACCGGGAGTCTTCACGACGCGCTGCTTGTTGGACTTGGTGTTGTAGCGGCACTGACGGCGGTAGGTCAAGCGGAAGGCCATGGCACCGATGCTGCAAGCCAGCTGCAAGCTTCAGACGATCTATAACCCGCTTCAAGCCAAAGCTCGACAAGCAGTGCTGTCACAGTTTGCTGCTGGAGCTGCTGGAGCTGAGCTCAAAGGAGGCTCAAGCAAAAATGTAACCATAGCCGAGTTGCTGAATTGCCGAACGACCTCGGAAGTCTTTCTTCGGCCAATACGGATGCCTTGACTAAGCCTCTGCTCGCACTCAGCCTCTGACAGACTTGGAAGGGAGCTCCGGCAGGGAAGGCACCCGCCTCTCGTCGCCACGAAAGGCCCGTTCTATGGATTGAAGCTCGGTTTCGGTATTCATTCACTCGGTTCCCTTGTTTTAACTCTGGTTTGCGTTTTGTACTCTCGCTTTTGGGTCTGTGGTTTTCGGCTTTGGAGGTTTGGGGGATACCTCTGCGACGGCACGGCCCACGCCTCCTCAAGGCTTCGTGCATGATCGCCACGTCGTTGAAGCGCCGCCGCCTTGGCTGAAAAACACAAGCCAGAAGCAAGCGGCCGCGAAAATCACAGAGGATCCCGCAGCGTCCAGGGCGAAGAGCTGTTCATGCTAACCTGCTAAAGAGAAACGAGAAGCTCTCGGGTACATTTCATGCCTTCTCGCACTACTCTGAACGACCGCCGACTCGGAAGTCCCGTCCTGCAAGATGTATTCGACATGCTGTCCAGTCTTGGCCAAGGACACTCGTGCCTGCCGCATGGACAACAACTTGTGAAAACAGAACGGCCAGAACCAAGACAACGCGCTTTCCGCGGAAACAGACATCGGTCCAAGCAACGGATGCCAGGGCCGTACTAGGTTGGGAAAAAGGAAGCTCATACCATTGGCGCCTTCAGCACTTCGAGGCCCTTGGCTATGCCTTGCGCCTCTTGGCCGCTTTCGACCTCGACCCACCAGGGAGACGTGCAGTTGTGGGTGAGCTTGTTTCGTGAATGCAGCCTACCCTCTGAGCGCAGAGCCACCTCGTACTTGAGGATAGACACATGTAAAGACAGGTCCCGGCCAATCTTTGGAATGTCTGCCTGCGAGGTTCATGTGCCGTGGCTGTTTTCAGACTGCGAGAATCCCGAGCCAAACCCAAACGATCGACAGACTAAGCGGTCGGCTGCCATAGCCGGATGAGCAGCGAAAATCTACAAACCAACTTCTCTTGACTTGGATGTTGAAGGGTGCTTTGTGGCTTGTTTAGCGGTTAGGCACCGTCGGGAGCAAGGACGAGCAAGGGTTATTGCCAGCTCTCGTGTTGCACGCTTGGCTGACCAGGAGGGTGCACATGTTGTCGAAGCCCTCTCTTGCCCTGACAGCCGAAAGTCACACGTCCCGGCCCAACGAAGTAGACACGCTCAGAGCAAGCGACTGGAAGTATCGCTTCATGTGTTACAGCTTGCTGCTGCTTTTGCCGAGCTTAATGGTGGCCGTTGTCCCGTCAGCATCCCATAAACCAGGTGGAGAGGGCGAAGCGCGGCTTCGTCCCACTCACCGGCAGCACTGCATGGAACCTGAGATCGTTATATGAATCCAACTGTCTGATTGTTAGCAGAGTGTAGCTGCAAGTGAAGGTGAGGAACATGGTGTGCGAGAAGAAGACGACCTGCAGCACGGAAGCTGCAGAGATGGGCTCTGCAGTAGTGCGCAGGGAGCGGCAGGGCGCACCAGTGTGTCCCCCTCTGGGGCAACTGTGAAGAGGTCGTGAGTCAAGGCCTGCGCAGAGGAGCTGGCATGTAGGGGACACAACGAGGCGTCTTTCAGCCTCGGCAGTGGAGCTAGGAGCCCTTCTGGGATCCGAGAGGCACACCTTGCCAAGCATACCAGCATGGGTTTGGAGGGTAGGCAGGGCTTTTGCACAGAGCCTGCAGAGCGCCTCCGTCCTGCAAATCAGAACCAGATCCTCTCTGCCTCGAAACTTCTCAGGAAGATCAGCCGCCGCCTGTTCGACATCCCACGGCCCGTCGGCAATGTAGTAGACAAGCGTTAACCTCCTGATCACACAGAAGCAGGAATGTCCAGCATCCATGCTTGCACACTTGCACTTCGGCGTCCTGCCGTCATCTGGGACGCCCATGTTTGTCCTTGACGATAGCACAGTGAGAACTATTGCACACTTGCTCCGCAAGACCAAGATCAATCGTACAAGCTGAAACAACTCCCCGACCACAAATCTGAAGAACAACTACAGCAGACCCACTCCCATCTCCACTGTTTTGCTGGTTGGTACTTCCATATGCAGCCACAGCGCAGGTAAGGGTTGTCGACATGGAAGCCATACTGAGCGTCGGGAACGGTCTTGCCGTCGTAGCACCTAGTTATGCTTGCTAGCTTTGCGCAGGCAATTGCAAACATATGTGTAGAAGAAGGCACGAGAGCATGCCCGGCGTGCGCTTGGTTAGGGTCAAGCCCAGCTGCTCCTGTCAACAACGATTGCAAGGACTCAAGACGCGAAGACGAACGCAGCGCCATCTCCTCCAGCAGCTTGCGCACACCCCAGCCGAAGTCCCCGAGCTGCGTGTCTAACACCTGATCGGGGCCGGAAGTGGGCAGGACAACTTTTTGGCTCCCGCGTGGCAGCGTCTGGCGACTCCGCAACTCAGGTACTACAACACTCAGCCGGCATTCAAACCCTTCACTAAACTGGGTAGATGCAGCTGTACTCACAAACAAAGTCACACAAGGTTCGCATGCTATTGGCGTTTTGCATGTAGGACAAATGCAGTGACTTGAAGCCCAAAGCAGAACGACGCCTTCAAGGCTTGCGCTTTCTTGCCGAGCGCATCCATGACGGCACTGCTGAGGCAAATGACCTTGGTACATGCACAAGAACCACGCTGCATCAACACTCTCCCTCTCTTGCTTTCACAAAGGTAAGAGGTGGAGGAGCCACTGCCACCCCCGTGCTCCAGGCGCCCACCATATGGTATGGGAACGTGTCCTGTAAAACGAACTGCCAGGGCAGATTCGCCGGAGCAAGGAGGGCAGCTCACAGGGAAAGCGCTTCTCTAAGCGTAGCAAATCAGAACCGATCAGAGGCAAGTGCCCTCAGATAAGAGCCAGCAGAACATAGTGCCAAAAAAGTATGAGCAAGTATATAGACAAGAATTGTCGTCAGGTGTCTCGCCATCACAAGCATACAAGTCAGCTGCTGCTGTTCAAGGGGTCAGGATATATCGCAAAGGCAGGTCTGAAGTAGGAAACCGATCACTACAGCTAGGAGCATCACACCATTGATTCCTGTCCCTCCACATTGCGGCCCGTTTCGGGACCCCTACGGACATCGAAGAGCTAAGCAGCAAAAGTAACAGATAATTCTCTTGGACCAAGGGCTTCTTGGGTCAACTGAGAACATCTGTTCAATGGCGGCTATGTCTAATGTTGCAGCCTTCTAAGCTTCGATATGTCTTTCCCTCATCAGCTTCCCGCCGGGTTGAAGGTTTAATAGCTGGTTGAGAGGTCGCCATCCACTACAGCAAGCCTCAGGTGCATGCTCTGGGCTGCCAGTTAGGCTGTGGAACTTATTGCGGCCCATACTTCCCCAGCTTGCGCTGTGACTTGGAACCCCCGAAACTGGGTATACCGGCTGCTGCCTTAAGCCCGTCGAGAGTCGTTGTCAAAGGACCACTTCATCTGCACTACGCTGCGCCCGAGCACAACTGTCGCTTTATTGGCCTTGCAATGCTTTTACTGCCCGTGCAAGTGACAGCGACTTTGGAACTACGCTGTACCATCGGGGATGCGGTGCTGCAGCAACGGATAAAGATGTGGCCCTTCACTTCCAGCGCTTGCCATATTGGGGGTTCAGGGTGGCCAACAGGACACCACCAGCAGACACTCTGTCTGCTAAAGATCTGGATGCCAACGTTGGTAAGCTGACTGTAGACGATTGATGACGAAGAGTCTTTCGGCCCTTCGATCGCTGAGGCTGCGTCCTTATCATCTCTCGCGTTAAACTGGATCTCAGTGCCACCTGGTGCATCTTGGCTTCGCGTCCAAGCGCCGAGTCCAAACCGACACTGCCTCTACCCTTTCTGTGGAAAATCTGATGTGGCACGAGAGGTTGGCAACTTCGACAGCCACGCATACAAAAATCTAGCTGCCAAGCCAGTTGACTTCCAGAATGGGTCAGCTCCTAGCTGTTCGTATATCAGATCTATCCTTGAAAACTGCGTGCCATCTCTCATACAGCATGTGCCCTCATGACCTGCACAGGCATTCGGTGTTAGGCTATGGAGAGGAGCTTTCGATGCCGGGAAGCCACTGAGAGACATTGAACTGAGAGACACCAAAAGGAGTCCCATCTGCACACCCCCAGGGTATGCCTTCAAGGGCACCCCTCTGCAAACCGCCCTTCCTGGAGTTTCAGCTTGAGCATTGCAGCATTCCGGCCTGGTGTGGATGGACTGCCTTTGCTCGCGCTGGTGTAGGCCCCGGCATCCTCAGCAAAGTTGCAAAAACAAAAAACTCCCTTATAGCTTGCCGAGTGGCGCTCAGATGCTGCCGAGGCTCCCAAAGTTGCTTCGCCTCCATGTGAACGGCTCTTTGGAATGACCTGCAGGGCCATCGGACCAAGGCCCGGAATGCAACGCAACGCAACGCAATGCTGCGACGGGCACCGCAGTGCGTTCCTTTTATCGCTCAGCCATGGAGCAACGAATCGTCAGACTCCTCGGGGTCGACGCAATAGTAGTTGGCCTTCTTGTTGCCGTAGACGCGAAGGGCATGCGCACCAGCACAGACCAGAATCAGACCCAAAATGCCGAAAATGACGAAGGGCCACTCGGCATGATGCTCGAGACGCTGTGCAGGCTCTGACACTAGCATGTTGCCTTGGCCGCTCAGCCCGCTCTCTCTGTAGCGCGTTTCGGAGGCTCCGTTCTTGGCAACAACCAGAACAGGCTCACCAGTGGGTGCAGAAGGCAACGCGGCAATCGGTTGTGCAGTGGGCGCGGCAGCCGCTGTTGAAACCGCAGCTGGCGCTGCCACAGCCGGTGCTATTGATACCGATGATGGAGGCACTGTGACCACCTTCGCCAGGCCGTCTGGCAGAGAAGAAACTGCTGGGATTGGCAAAGTTGTCGGGTTTGCTTCAGCCACCCCGGCGCCAGGTGTCGAGTTCACGGGAAGAATGGCAGAAGTTCGCACGGCAGGTGTAGTCGGTGGAGTCAATGCACTCACGCCGGCTGGGACTGCTGTCGTTTCTCTCTGCGTGGTGGCCTGAACTGTCCTTATCACAGCGTCCTCGATTTCTCCATCGGGACTCTGGATCTGCGGCGCGGCGGCATCCGCATCAACGAATACCACCTTGGGTGCCTCGGGCTCGGGATGCTTGGGCTTTGGCTGGTCTCCACGGAGGTGACTCATTTGACCCGGGCAGACGTGCTGGATGTACTGTCCCGCGACAGCCGTCTTGGCAAGCTCTGTGCCTTTCCTGATGACAGGGGGGTAGGGCATCTCCTGAGAAGGATCTTCGATGTAGCACCCCTGCGAGGTGGAGTATTGCCACGCCTCTCACAGGAGTCAAGAAAGCACTTACAAAGACTCTGAATGCGAGCACGCCCCGCCTGACATGCCAGGATTGAGAGACACAGGTTAGCACAGCGATGTACCGCCTCCACTCGACGCGATCACGCACAGACAGCCGCAGAACAAGAGCCTCCCCCGACCTGCTCTTGGCTGACAGCGGGCACGCTCACTGTTCCAAACATCAGGCTCAAGCCTGGCTGCGAATCTTGGAGACCCACAAAAGCTATAAGCATACTGGGTGCTGCCCTCATCTGCCCACCTTCCAGCTCAACTCCCGTCAAGTCGGCAAGTACCTAACATGAACTCGAACGGGTCCGCTGCTCTCTTCACCAATAACGACGACGCAAGCGCCGACTGCGCAAGCTTGGAGGTCACGCGGTAGACGCCATGCTGAAAACGTCCAGCATCGGCAATGCTTGCTTCAGCTGCGGATCCGAAGCAGTCTTTCCCAACACCTGGCACATCTGGAGCAAGGGGGAACAAGTAGTTGCGAGTATTTCACCCGATTTCCTGTCCTTGGAAGCATTCTTCCAGCGAAGCCTTGCCAGTGTGAGCTGAATGTAAGCAATAGGGCATGTCGGAGGTGTCCTTGTGTTGATACGACAGGGAGAACACTTTTCCGTTCCGTGAAAAGGCCCATGTTCTGTACAGTTCGGGGTCCAGGTCACCAGATCACAGCCGCGGGCACGAAAACACCTGTTCTCAGGTGGCACAGCGCAAAAGCGCCCGGGCCTTCATGATTCATCTGGACACGAAATGAATGAAGGAGGAAGTGAGCACCCAACAATCTCAGCGCAGCTCGTCTTGAGCACACTAGGAAAACCCTCTCATGCTGCCGCAGGCAAGCACGACCAAAATGCTGAATTGAGTGTCTAATTCACTACCGAATTGGCATATAATGTTAATGTGGATCAGCTGGTCAAAAATGAGCCGTCACCGCACATAACAGCCTCCCACACACCCCAGCAGGCAACACCCTGTACTGTAGCACTGCCAGGAGCACTGGACACCATGTGCCCTGGTGCCACTAACGAAGAACGACATCTCCTGAGACGGCACGATGGTCGCTGCCCGCAGCCCGAGGCCACACCTGCGATGCTGACACGGAAGCGCCCATTGAGAGCGGAGTCTTCTGAAAGTAAACGTAGTCGAGGCGGACCGGGTCATCATTGATCGTTGATGGATCAGGGTTGCCGGGATGGAGCTCTGCCCATGCATCCGTGAAAGTAAGCGGGACTGTCCAGTGCCTGCCAAAGCCATCTGCCTCACCGTGTCTGAGCAGTTGCTGCGACGGTTGAAAGTACCCCGTGTTCAGGTCTCCCATGAGGACGATGGGGTACGGGTGCGTCTGTTGCACCTGGTGCAGGACGTTAGTCACAAACTGCACTGCCTCCAGGATTACAAAGTCTCCCAAGCAGCACAGCGGATGAGTGCCTGATGCGATGAGGGTGTAGTTGTCGGACTTCCGGCGCAAAACTGCCCAGTTGATGGCTCGGCCGGCCGAAAATGGAACAAGATCGCTCGCGACGTGCTCCCACTTGTCAGAACGATACAGGATGTCCGCATCATTGTATTGTTCTGTAGCACCACCAGGCGCAAAGGCCCACACATTGCCGGAGACCTGGTTGAGGCGATCCAGGATGGCAAACTTCTCCCTCCACATCTCTGGTATGGCAGCGATCTCCGGCTGCATCCTCAACAGTTCGTCCACAACCGGATAAATGCGACCGGCCAGAGTGAAGATGTAAAGGTTCCACGTCACAAAGCGTGTTGCATTCCCAATGCCCGGAGGTGGCGAGCCGGTCGACTCGGCCGGAACCGGAGGAGCAACTTGCCCGGGCCAGGCACAAAGGCTGGCTCCGGAAGTGCAATGCGCACCTGTTCTCTGGTGACAGTCCCATATGGGATTGTCGTTGTTGAGCTCCTTCGAGCACGCGAAAGGCTCAGTCTGATGACCGCACCACGCATTCATGGCCAGCTGGAAATTTGGCCTCTCGCTGCAACTCGGAACATCCTCCAATCCACGCGGTGCTGTTTCTTTGGCACCTCGTAGCCCAACTGTCTGTGCCGTTGCAGTAACCTGATTGTAGGCAGAGCATAAGAAGCTGAGCCACCCCAGCCGCAGCATGGCTTCTGATATGAAGAGACGCTGCAGCAGGTTACTGGCGAAACACTTAGACTTAGATTTGAGCCACTCAAAAAGACATCAACAATTCGATAGAGAACTGCGAACTCGCGATTCCAGGATGCAGAGCAAGATTTCAAGACAGCCGAGCTTGGCCTCACTTATCCGCACTTGCCATGCAGAACCTTACACGCCAGGGCATCTGCTGCCCTCCCTTTCAGGGCCTGGTCCCGCTGCAGCTAGATGGAATACTGAGGTGGCCACACAGCACGTTCTCGGCACAGCTTGCTGCACATGACCTCAAACTTGCGATGAGACCGAGTTGCGTCTACTGTAGAGACGATAGTCAATAGCAGCAGCTGCAGCTTGGGCATGAGCCTTTCGGCGGCGATGTGTACCCTTTGCAAATCCTGACAATGCCTTGGACGGAAAGTTGCAATGTAGCTTTCGCATGCGATTCGTCCTTAAACTTGCAAATTTACCACCTCCACAGTGCAGTCGCGTCCCTATCTCCATATCCAATAAGCTCAGGTGCAGGATGTTCGATTTGAGACTGTGGGACAGTATTAACTGCAACTCGCATGAACTCAATCGCGGGACTGGGCGAGGACAGGAATTTCAGCATCAGGCATCGGCACTCAGAAGCTTCTTCCCCTCATTTCGCCCCAAGGCGCCTCTTTTGACCCCTGGAACTTATCCTATGCATGTCTGCACCGTTAGCCGCTAGCCAGTGGCAAGAGCCACCTGCGCTCCTTCAGTCGGTCTGAAACCACTGGGGTCATTGGAGCCGAGCAAGGCCATGCAACAGTGTTTGCGGTGTGAGCGCGGCGTACAGTAGGGAGGAGGGCATGTGAGACTTACTGTACTGACGGGTATCATCGTTGGGATCAGCTATCGCTCTTCCACCGACGGATTCGGCTAGCTTCTTACCTCTGTACCGTCTTTACCGCAGTTTGGCTGCCTGCCTTCGTCCATCTGCCGCGTGCTTCGGCACATGTACAGCTTTTAAGGAACTCAGAGTACCCTCCAGGCCCCTGGCCCTGCAGTCGATGTGTTTTCAATCGAGGTGGGCAGAATGGATCTGCACAGCACGCTTTGCCAGCTGTTGTCACCTGCCCTTTGGCACACTGCTGCACCTGCAGAAGGCAGGCTGCCAGTACATGTTGGTGGGCCAGCACCTGGGATGCGCAGATCAGCACCGCGAAGCGCCGCGAAGTGCAGAAAACTCAGGTTGTGGCTGAAGGTTTGTCGGCGTGAATCCCAGTGGCCATGCACTGTCCAAGCAGAACAGCCGACACCAAACAGAAGCACTGCTGAGCCGACTTCCAGCTGGAATTCAGGCAGCTGGCCTCTGACTCCCTTCAGCTGTTTCTGCTGGGAACCTCGTAGATCTGCCCACCGCACATGCCGCGTGAGAAATTCCCAAGCTGAAGCGATGGCTGCTTCTTTGGAAGGTCTTCACACGCGGATGGCTTGTCCTGACATGTTGGGCCCATTTACTCAGACTTGCAAGTGCGGGCGATAAACAGTAGCTGTTACGAATGCACGAGCAGCTCAGATCTTCTGTCTTGCAATAGATCAGAGCCTCTGCACACGCGACTGGCCCAGACCTGTGCAAACCAGCGTCGTACAGAGGAGCACTCCGGCCATAGGCTGCACGCTTCAGCTGCTGAGATGCAGGCACCGCACCCTGCGTGCCGACGACGCCGCTGTGATTGCGCCCAAGATAGCAGAACTTAGCAGAATCTTCGACCAAAGCATGGGAGGCCTAAGACCACATTGAGGGAACGGCCTTCGAGGCTGCAAAGTAAACGAAGGCACCACAGCCTCGTAAAACACTCAACGGGCACATGCGACGGTGTCACATCATGTCGCCCTCTGGCCTGCAGTCTGCTTGCAAAGCAACTGGCACTCCAAACGGTCCAGCACTGCCTGACGCGTGCAGCACCACATCTCAAGATCAGCTGTGATGTTCGTGTCGAACACGTCTGATCTGACCATGTGCGCAGCCTGGATGGGGTTCGTGACATGTTCCAAATGGGTTAACAGATACCTGGCTGGCAGCTCTAGCGAAGTCACGAAAAGGAGCTCAGCATGAAGAAGTCCAACCTTGCATCTTGCAGGAAGCAGCCTGCCAAGGTTGGGTTGGCGCACGCTGCACAACCAGCACACGCGTCAGTCACGGCCTGGCACATCACGCCATTGCGCAGAGCCCGGACACACAAGCAAGGCCTGAGAAGCATGACACAGGTCATCACAGGTCACAAGTCTCAGTCGCATCTTCTGACGATTCTTGTTACGCGGGGCTGTCGCGCACCTTTGCACTTGCATTCGATCATCGCGAGCTCAGAATCGGACGGCCACCCAGACCCACCACGGAGAACCCAGCACCATGGCACGCATTATGCGAGTCTACCTGAACCAGTATGCACAACTCGTTTTATCTAGAAAGTTCTGGCTGCTGAGCGGAGGCCAGAGGCTGGCGTCCTGTCCGGTTAGAGCTCTTACATCGGGCTGCTTAACATGCTCTTACAATCGATGTGGTTGCTATGATGCCATGACACGTCGCAACTGGCAAGCTGGGATGCCCCGCGCCAAAAGCGTGAACGAACTGAAACTGCCACTGTGCAACAACTCTGCGCACCTATCTGCCCCGGCTTTAATGACGCAGACGCCGCGTTCCTCGGGAGGCAACTTGCAACATTGTAGCGCTGGGATGAACATTCACATTTCGGCATTTCGGAACAACCCGGACAAACACGCTCGCACCATCGGCCATGGGTGACCCTTGTCCTTGAGCTTGTTGACGACGACTTGGGCCGTCTCAACGCTTCGGTGCCCAACAAGCTGCACCTATACTCTGTCCGAAGGATATATCTTGCGAGTGTGCTGAGCAAATAAAGCATATACTCAGTCTCGAGCATCGTAGGGTGCGGGTCGTGTGGGTTTTGTCGCCGGGGTGCTCCAACCTCCGGTCTTCTGCGGTTGGCAAGCGCCACGCTGAGGCTCTGCTGCCACGCCGCGTGACGCTGAAGGCATGGAAGGGCCAGCAGCTTTGTCGGCCTCCACATACAGCGAGTGCTAACGGCTAGCGGTGCGTCAAAGTCTAAGCTGCAGGCGTTGCTGATGCTTGGCCGAGACTCCTGAGAGACATCAGCACGACTCTGTCAGGGAGGCTGCAAGGCCCGGGCGGCCCGAGCTCCTGCCCCAGCATCGCTCGAACGGCATCCCATTCGATTTCCTTCTGCGTGGGCATGACCTTCGGCTGCACATCCAAGGTGTGAGTTGCACTCAAAGACACGCAGAAGTTGACAACAGAGGTCGAAACTGCATGCGGCTGCCCGGGGGCCGCACTGAGCCACTTGCATCACTTGCAAGTTGGCCTAGCTCTTGCCTCGACGTCGTGGCTGGCACCTGTGCATGTACATGTTGTGGAACCGGGTCCAGTGGAGTGGACACAGAGTTTGTTGCAGCCTGCCCGCATACATCCTTGTGTTTCGGCCAGTCTGTGCGTTGGCAATCCTCGCCGCTCCAAACTGCTCTACTGTCAGCACTTGCCGCCTATACAGCCGGTCCGGAGTGCAATATGCCACATCTTTGCATCGCGAGCACCGCGCAGCAGCAGGGCTTCCGCAAACATGGCAAGGGCCCAACATTGTCTGTAGCGAAAACTGTGCTCTTCCAATAGGGGGGCATTCAGTGAAAGGCATTAAATGAGCGTGCTAGCTGCTAACTGCACCCCGGTCAAAGCTGCGTCCATATTCTTCTCAATGCATGCCTATGCATGTTGTACCATGTGCGGTTCGGGCACTGATTCAAGATCTACTCACTGCGGCCAATCGCCGCTGGTTACTCCATCACTGTGATCGCTGCTGGTTGAAATCCTCGTGCCACCTTGACTGCGCTACCTCTCGACTCATCCTAATGTGCAACCTTCCACCATCTTCCACCTGTCCTCTTGGGTCAATTTGCTGTGCTGCCGCTCCGAAGCAACGAGTCCCTCCTCCAAACTTCATGCTTCTTGTCTCCATTTACAAGTATCGTTTCTCGAATCACCCCGGAATTTGGGGCTAAGCCCTGAACCGGAAGCCTCGAAACCTCTCGCACGAAAGTGGATAAGCCCAGGGTCGAATCATCTGGAGCCATGGTTCTGCGACACGTTTGGCTTATGTCAATCCTTCCGTTCTTCCGAGATTTCGCTGTCATCCATGCCAAAGTCAGTAACAAGAGAAGCGGTGGTCTATATTTGATGGAGAATGGCGAAGCATTAGGATGCTGTCAAACAAATGATATTGCATGCTGTTAGTCCCTATACGGCCTTCTTGGAGGAAGGGAGACGAGCCCCCCCTACCCCTCCCCCACTTGCAGTCACCGTCCTCTGCTTTTAAGCTGCTGCCACCCGATGCCAGTCGGGTCTAGGGTTTTGCACTCCTGCAGGTGCCTAAGGCATGACCTGCTCCAGCTGCAGCACTCTGCTGTGGAGCCCCCAAAGCAGGACCAATACGGCCCTGCCGGAAAGTACTCCCACTTTGCTGTCTTGGGAACAGCACTGCAACCAGCAAGGGAATTCATCAATCAGGCCGAATGAGGCCGAAGGCTTCTGCCGGACGATCGCTTCAGAGTCAAGCACAGTTTTGCGTATGTCTCAGCGATAGCCTTCGAAAGGCCGGAGATGGCAGCCGGTGGGAGAAAATGAGCTTCAACAGCTGCGGCCATCCCAAAGTAGGACCATCCTCTGCCCCACAGTAAAGTAGAGCAGCGGCTTCTACGTTCTATAGATACATAGATAAATATACACGCACATCTCTGTGTGTGTGTGTGCGCATGTGTTCCCGGTAGTCCATGTCACCTACTGCAGGATGACCGTAGTTCCTAAGTCCAGCTTTCGAGGACTCTAATACAAAAGCAACTTCATTCAAAGAGACACCAGACCTGGTTTCAGAGCTCGACGTGCTGGGCTCAGCGGTTGTGGACCCTGGCGAGGGCGAGATGCAGCCTAGATTGGCTAGGTGCCGAAAGCAGCCAGTCACGCTGTGCTGCGAGGCCTGCCTGAGCCCGCTGTTGCAGGCTTCTTACCTTACTCTTGACAACCGTGTTCAGGTAGCCACCTGTAGACAGGGCATGCCACAGGTCCATGTTCGGCACCTTTCCTGGATAAGTGCTGATTGCAGAGGCCTTGGGAGCTCAGCTCATCCACCAGACTTTGAAAAGAATCAGGGTCGTTGTCAAACACCTCGCGGCTCGTCGAAGCAACACATACACACACACACACAGAGACAGAGTGAAGCGAGAGTCACCTTGTCCAAAACCGATGCCAGGCGTTTGCATTTGTATCGCTTGGACCTCAGCCAGGGAAGCCTCAGCCTTAGGCCCCACCGCAATGCCAGGGAGGCACCCCAAAAAGGGGGTCTAGGGCTAAGGGTTACGATGCCAGGCTTTTCTTTCAAGGCTTCAGGGGGCTCTTGAGTGAATTGCATGAATTGTGGAACTTCCGGGATTCGGACCTGCAGGGTCTTGGCCGGAACCTTTTCGGATGCTGGAAATGGCAGAACGTACACCTTGGCGAGACACAGACGCGGGATCTTCAGGGTGGACGGTGGCTTGAGGAGAATGGCTCGGATCATGCTCAGGTGCGGAGAGCCTCCACCCAATTAGGGAGAGGGAAGGAGAGGGAGAGGGATAGGGAGAGAGGGGAGAGGGGAGTAGGGAGAGGGACACAACGCCACTGCAACACTTGGGCAGTTGCGCTGCGCCATTTGTACAACCACTTTTCGCGAAGACCTGAGCCAGAGTGCTGAGGCTGTGAGAGTGGCAGGCATCTCACGGTAGGCAAAGACGCTGAGTCGGCTGAGGTGCGCACATAATGGCAGGGCCTGCTTGCAAATCGTGCAAGGCTGCGAGATGCTGCAAGACAAAAAGCAACCTCAGGAATTGAACGGTGGCACCGGCCTGCATTGCCCTGTCGCATGGTGCTCAGACCCGACTGACCACATACCTTCAAAGGCGTTCGCAACAACCGTACATACATCCATCAAGCTTGAGTGGAAGTGTTCTATGCAAACTCTCAGGTACGTGTGCCTTCGCCAAGGTTCTCGTCCTCTGAATCGTCGGCCTCGTCTTCCTCGTCGCCTTCAGATTCTAGCTGGTCCTGGCACGGCACATGGCCTCTGCGTGCTCGAGGTGGCACAGAAGCGCCTGCCTTGCTTTCGAGAAGATGGGCCAGCTCTTCCACTTTCTTCGCAGTGGCGTCCCAGGCGGTCCTGACATGACACGAACATGCTTCGCCCAATCACCGCAAGTGATTGCAGCCCAAATACGATAGTATGTTTCGATATGTTTCGTATAGCGGGGAACGGAAGGCAGTCTAGCCTAGCTGAAAAGCACAAGCAACCGGCCCGTAAGGTTCTGGGTGAATTATTCCGCCTTGATAGCAAAGCCGTCGTGCGAGGCGGCAGCAAGCAAGCTCATGTTGCCCCACTCCGATCCGCTGCAGCAAGCCCCTTTCACGTCTCCATGCAAACATCGGCACCACGTTCTGTCATGCAGAGCATGGCGAGGACATGTCTAAGGAGTCTCAGGCGCATGACAACCACCTGACAACTGAATGCATCCCTCTTCATACATGAGCAGCTGGATTGACAACTCTGCATGTTGGCAAGGAGCTCCTATTGGTGGGGGAAGTGTGCTTCGCCACTGCTTTGAGTTCCGCGTAGAACTTCTTCACATGATCCTGGGCCAGAGAGAGGACAACATGTAGTCAATGGAGTCACGTGCGAGAAGCTGCTTTGCAACAGTCCTTGCCCCAAGCCACCATGCGCCCGGCCTCCGTTCAGGAAGTCATCAGCGCGTCACTGTGAAACGTGCTTTCGACATCGTGCACTTGTTTTGGCCGTCCTTCTTGTCGTTGTGTTGGCTCTCCGAGCTTTCAGTTTGGCTGGCCTCAGCATTCCACAGACGAAGGAAAGCGGTTGAGGGCCTCAAGAGCCCTTTAATAAAAAATATAACCGGATGATGGCGCAACAGTCTGAGTCTGAAGGATTAACCCAGGCTGTGAACTCGACCGGTCTCACATGCAGACGAGGCACAGAGCTAGAAGGATTGGATGTATCACCGTCGTGCAACAGCTGGTGCGCACTCGAAGCTTCAGCCTCGGAAGTCTGCGGAGAAACAGTCTCCCATCAGAGACGCTGAGGGCAGAAGAGGGTTAGATTCTGGCTGCCGCTGACCTCACTCCCAATCACCACTTGGCTTCACGGTTTCGGTGCAAGCCCAGCCAAGCAGCTGGAAGGCACATCCCGAAAACAGACTGACTAGTTGTTTTTGAGCGTTTGCTTCAGCTTCACGTTTCAATGACACCGTATTTCCATCGTTACATTGTCTACCCCATGACGTGGTCTAATTGACTGTCACTTGTGATCCTTGTCTCACTTCAGCCCGTGCCGCTTCGAAGCCTAGCTGTACTCAAAGAACGACCTATGCTGTGGTAGGTGGCGACTCGAAACTGAAGTAAACTCTCCGATCTTCAAAGCTCGCACCCACACCTACACTTTGGCACTTGTCATCACGCAGCCGGGGTTTGTCGAGGGAGGTACAATAAGCTGTGCCCTTGATTCTCAATGCCGCACATGAGCGTCCGATGAAGATCATAGCATTGGCCGGGTCTAAACGAAATTATTGAAACGCAAGTCCATTGATCATGAATCTGGGATGACCTGGGTGCAACCTGGACATGTGAAAGCTGCATAATCATGATATGCACATCGAACGTTCCACATGGCTTTCCATGGCACACGTTCAAGATAGACCAAGATAGAAAGCAACAGCACACTGGCTGCCAGACTCGCTGCTGTTGATTCCTGGTCATGAAGTAAAGCGGGCTGTTTCCAAAAGCTATGGTGACGTGCGCCATCAATCAAAGTGGAAGAGCGGGCCAAGGACAAAGGGAGACGCAAGCGGCACACGAGCCCCCAGGGGGAAAGGATGGAGAAACGAAGCATAAAGCTCTTGAGCGAAACGTGCAAATCACACGAGGGGGCCGACCAACCGAAACTTGCAGCTGGCCTGTCGCCCTCCGTGCCTTCGTACAGGCTGAAGGTTTCGTCGCCCTCGGCCACTTTTGGAAATAATTCGCCTCCCCTATGCAATACTGGCTCGGGCGTGAAGAACCGTCGTCAACTGAAAATTTCTCCGCTTTGGTTCCCCGAGGCTCCCGGCCGAACTGGAGCTGAAGCTGTCAAGCTCTGGTCTCCCCCAGACCAAATGCTGTGGATCACCTCGGCACATGGAAACCCCTGGACGACAAAAGCACATTCATCAGAAAGTCGGAACCTGCTGCACTGGATGAGCTCGGCATTGCACTGGCAACCTGCGCAAAAAATCGTCTCGGTATTCCCAATGTACAACCACCATGCAACTGCATGCATTGGCCTTTGTCATGACGCCGCCAGACGTCCAAGGTGGCCAAGGCAAACATGAAACAGCGTCGACAAAAAAGAACTAGCACACATCGAACCGATCATCGAACTGCATATGGGTCTGTTTCGGCTGCAAGGCCTCTGGCGTCGAATGGTTCTTCATAGCTATTCACAACTGATAACAGAGCGCACGCTTGAACCATAACCAAGCATAAATGGCACAGATGCTGTTCCCATAAGTGGCGACTGGTCCGAGTGGTCGCCTGGTTCACGAGCTGGGTGTTTAAACGCATGGGAAAACCCTAACCACTCCCTCGTCCCTCGCCGTGCAGTGGACGACGGGGAGGGTGCCGCACCACGACACAACGCTTGCCGCAACGCAAGCCTACCCCAACTCCCCCAAGCTGCAGGGGAGCAAAGGGGGTTTCGCTTCAAGCGAGGCGCTGAGTGATGGTATGCTGCGTAGTCGCCTGTCCGCTGTAGGGGCAAATGCGCCACAGCTAGTTGGCACGAGAGGCGGCGCAACACTGGAGCAGCAGCCAAGCCGCGCTCCAAGTCGTCACGGTCGAAAATGAGGCCGCAGCAGGCTGTCCTGTTCAACCGCGTTTGCTCGGGAGTTGGCGGGCGACGAAAGCATCGTGGCCGGAAGGCGGTCCCAGTATGGCGAGGCCTTGGCGCTCAGCCAGCCGGGCGAGGGGAAGGGGAGGACAGGAGAGCTCCGGTGCCCCGAGCATCGCGTCACGCGCTATGTGGGCGAACGCACCGACGGCATCGACAGAGAGGCTGGTGGCATGCGGGAGGTTCGGCCCGGAGGCCGTGGCCTT